CGACATTTTTACGTCGACACGTTTTCAAAATGAAAATTTATGTAAAAAATTGCAAATATTAAGCTCGGAACAACCCACACAAGGGTTAAACTATTTTTTATTTTATTTATTTATTGTTAATTGGTTTAGGCAGAAGCCTATTACAATCTTGTGTTATACATATGTGTTTTTATACTTACACTATATTAAACTATTAACTTTAAAACGAGCCTGTAGAAATATGTAGGTAAAACAAAGATATAAGATTCAAAATTGAAACTATGACTAAGAAAAATCTTTGGTTGAGCGATTTTCAATTCCATTGCATCTTGGCATTTAATATGAATCATTCATCTAGGCAGAGTGCTCTGATTCTTATTGCACTTCTGCACTTCTGTCTTCTTCAGCATCCGATTCAAGGATCTTTGTGATGCTTTCGTACTTAAAGTCATGCGGTCTGGATTCGTCGTACATCGGACATTCTCTTAATACGCCTTCTGCACTTCTGTCTTCTTCAGCATCCGATTCAAGGATCTTTGTGATGCTTTCGTACTTAAACTCATGCGGTCTGGATTCGTCGTACATCGGACATTCTCTTAATACGTATTATAGGGTAATACGTGTTGTATTCCGCGGCTCGCGATTCCTTGCGTTGGTTTATTATTTTCAATAGGTACGCGGTAGGAGATCCTGACGGAAACTGGGCGAAATAAGGATGCTGTTCTGCGCGTAGTACTATTCGACTTTATTCGACAGTTCGGTGACGTTCGGTGCGTGAAGACCACTAGACAAAAATCTGCTGTTTCGACGGAAAAGGTTTCTAGATATAGGTTCGGTAAGTACGAGAGTAGGGGTTGGTCTCAGAGGTCAATGTAGGGAGAGACGGTGATGTCTAGGTTCAGCGATGAGTAAAGGATGATGTGGAGGTCTAGGTTTCGGGGTGACTAACGTTAGGATGATGCGGATTTGTTTACAGTTAAGGAAAGGAGGCAGGATGACTAAAAACTAATGAAAGATAGGAGGGAGGTATACGACAACGCCCCTCCTTGCTAATCTTAATTGGGCGAATGTTCTCTTGTATTTTATTGGGATATTCAATTTCAGGTATTCCTCTAGTTTAGTTCCCGAGTGGTCTTTTATGGGGTTAAACTATCATTCCAGAAATTTAAGAGTTGAACACACTCAGGATTATAATTGATAAATTTCCGTTGCAATATGGTTAGAAAAGAGAGCTTGGTCGAAGTGGTTTTCCCTCGTTTCCAAGATCCGCTGTGTGCACCCTTCACCCCGTGACACGTATGCAACTCCCTCTTCTACAGCTTATTCTCCGTCTCCCTTGCTTTCTCAGAGGCGCACAGTGGCTGTCAAGGAATAATCACGATCCTCGCGCTGATAGTGTCCCGTATTTCCAACAATTGATACGCCTCTCTCTGTATACCGAACCGCTATCCCGTAGACAGAGCAGGCAGGCAGACCTTCGTTTCGTTGCGTTACACGCGCTGAATTACAACCAGACAGGATATCAATACGGCTCCTTAAACGTCCACCGTGTCCTATGTATCGTTCTACGTAATTTCATTGTGCTTTTTCTACAAATTCTTCACATTTATACCCAAGTCTCGATTCAATTTTCATACGAGAATATTGGAATTTATATATTTTCAACCATTACTGCATAGAATAGACTTTGAAAAATAGAAATTTCAAGATCCTCAAGTATAGGCTCTTAGAGCAGCGCTTAACACGTGCACAGGGTGATTTCGCTTTTCTTTCAATCGTCACTTTCCAACTAATTATTATTTTTCGAAGAAATTTTCAAGAATGTGGTAAATTACTTTTTCGTAAAACGTATACAATTATTAGAATTCGTGACGGCATTTCTCAAAAGAAATTCAATCATTTACCGCGTTTTATAAATTTACTTTCAGACAGATATGTGAAAATCTCAAAAATATGTGCGTCAAATGTGTTAATATTCTTAATTTCCACCTGCAGTTCTCTTACGATTAACCTTAATTAATTCGAAATCGTCGTGAACACCTGAAAATTAACCTCGATCGACCCGAACAGCAGAAGTCTCAGGAAGAATCTTACTTGCCAAAATATTCAACACCATCGATTAATTTTTAACCCATGAAAAACCTCCCTCAACCGGAACACTAAGAAACATCCTGAAAAAGGGCTGAATATCCTCTCGAGTGGCGTTCCACTTTGCTCGAATTAAATAATTCAGCCTTGTTCGTTCACCCATCATCGTTCGAATCAGCTCGTTGCACGAATTTCCTGTCTGTAAGAGGGTGGGAAAAGGGTTAAGACGGCTCAAGGGAGACACGTTACTAATTCGTGGCGGATCGAGCATCCTAATTTGATCGGCTTCACCAGGCTAAACGATTGCGCTTCGCGCGGAACGCGTTAATTATTGCGTTCTGCTGCACGCGCATCGGGCCATCGGTTTGTAATAATTGTTCCTTCGAGCAATCGATACTCTCTCCCTCTCTCTCTCTCCCACTCTCTCTCTCTTACTCTCTCACTCTGGTTGCTTCGTCCGTGTTATTGATCGACCTGTACGTCGAGTAAGAAACGTCGTCGCGTGGGAAGAAAGCGTGCCAGCCCGTTTACCACATGTACAGAAATGTTTACCATTCCTCTGTGTCGCTGTGATCGAGGCATTTCAGTTCGAAGAGAGGAAACACGCGCGCGCGCGTACACACGCACACATATATATATATACAGATTCATAGAAGGTACGAAGCTTCTCGATGTGATTTCGAGTGGAGAATTGTAGGTTGAGACGGTTGCAAGAGGAATGAATATTAATTTTTCATGGAGTCAAAGAAATAGAAAGATCCCTTTCAGATGCAGCTCTTTTGCTTTAATTGAGACTTATTCGAGGTGGTTTGTGGTGGTACAGAGAAGTACGGAGGGAATCTGGCGCAAAATTCTTGGTTATTCGTGCTGTTTCGGTTTTCTAAGTTCGTTGGTTCGTTGCTAGGGAGGTTATGTGCAATCGTTCGATGGTAACCTATGTTTCTTAGTGCTGCTATACGTTTGTTAGAAGTGTGAATAATTCTGGGGGGGAGCAACAGAGAATTTTCATAAAATTTCAGAGGGTACGAGAGAAAATTGGTTTAATAATAAGTTGCAAGTGATGGCGTGAATGTAGTGTCGAATCGTCTCGAGATTTGGTAAACGAGCGGATCATACAGGGTAACTGTTGGTAAAACAGGAAAAGCGCGTTGTTATTGATATCAGTGAGTACGTGAGAATTTATTGCGAGAAATATTTAGAGAGCGTTGATCAAATTGTCATTATTTCTTTTTACGTGTGTATAGTTATTGTTATAAAATGTATTGCTATTGAACTTATTATCAAGTTTTATACAACCACAATCGGAATCCTAAATTTCGAATAATAGCTATTTTGCTCCAACACCTTTTAATTACCTACTTACGATACTGCTTACGAGGTTACTCTACTGGTAACGAGAACTGTCTCGTACATAAGGTTCACCAAAATGGACGATTCCTTACGGTGAACTGAATTCCATTTAGATATCTGTTAGGTTGTACTGCATTAATATTGCACAAGAGTTACATTTATTTAATTCTCGTGTATTCTACATCTTTCTCTTACATTCATTGCCCATTGATAATGATTCGGACACTCTTTAGAACGGTATAACTTTTTTTCAAATTGGACTTAACGACTTGAGTTTTTTTTAGAAGTTAGAAGGATTAGTATACCAGATGACATGTCCAAAAAATTTTGAAAAAATTGCAATTTGTGGAAATCGCGAAGAAAATTGTAAAGGTCACATTCGACCACTTTCAACCGAGTAATGGAAATTTAAAAAATACGTTTTGTAGTTTTTGTGCCAATTATACGCATGCTGTGAGCTACAAATCGTTGAAGATTGTGAAAATCGCACTATTTCACGGCGTTCGGCCTATAATTGTAATAAATCTGAAGATTCCTACATCTTTCGATGCCCGTCGCTTGTTTCTCCATCTACCGATCTCGATGAAATTTTCAACAGGTGTACAATTAACGTAAATCTACAAAACGCTCAGGTAAAAAAGTTGTAAACAGTGACCTTTACAATTTTCCTCGTGATTCCCACGAATTGCAATATTTTCAAAAAATTTTACACACGTCATCTAGTAATCCTTCCAACTTCTCGAAAAAGCTCAAGTCGTTTGATCAAATTTAGAAAAAGTTCTACTGTTCCAAAGAGTGTCCGAATATTAGTAAGAGTCACTGTAAATCTGCAGTGTGATTTACTATTTACGCTGTGCGAAGCTTGCTTGATTTCAGGACGGACTACAATTTACATATGAAGTTTACAAGGTGACCGTGATATTTTTAAATGGAACGCCCTATGTTTCTTCACGAAAATTAAACGAGCATTTAAAAACTGAGTAAACAAGTGTTGATCTTTAATATATCTGAAATGGGTATTTATTGAAATGTTCACGCTAGAAGAATATGGAAAAAATAATTATCGCGACACGTGTTCCCCTTGAAATCGTGCAAATTTTACTTTACACACTATTTCACACAGCGAACAATTTACCTGTAATTTCAGGTCGTCAAGTTAAGTGAATCACCCTGTACACACAGGTCACCTTCATAAAAATCCCTTAGATCGCCCACACAGGTCACCTTCATAAAAATCCCTTAGATCACCCACACAGGTCATTTTTATAAAAATCCTCTTACTCGCCCTGTACACACATACGCTACCGGCCAAAAGTTTCGCTAATTTACAAAATTGAATCCGCTGCTAATTTTTCATAGATTCGAAACTGACGTTGCGAATAGCGATAGTACTTTACCTTATTTCGGTTGATTTCGGTTGATTCGATTTATTCTGAAAATTGTTCCAAACATTTGGCCGGTAGTGTAGGTGATTTTCACAAAAATTCCCTGAACCTTCCTGTACACACACGTGTAATTTTTCTAAAAATTCCGCCACCGTTGATAAATTCCCAGAACTTACGGTAGCAATGGGGTGTTTTCAGGAGACCAAGAGGCCGTCGAAAGAGATGCAGGTGACAATCGCCAGGCAGCTGGGCCTGGAGCCGACGACGGTCGGCAACTTCTTCATGAACGCTCGACGCCGCTCCATGGACAAGTGGAAGGACGAGGACCCGAAGACCGTCGCGGTCGAGGAAGGACAGCTATCGCCCACGATAGGTATCGGGCAACGACAACCAAGCGACGTTTTGTGACACACGTCCGACCACGAGGAGTACCACGACGAATCACCCGAAGAAGATCTGCCCTTCTCGTAATAAGGGCCCGCGCGATTTTTCACTGAATACGCGACTGACCACCTCACGGGCTCGTGATCCAACAACCGACTGATCGTTCTGAAACATATATTTCACAATGAGAAAGGACACGTTCCGATCACGTAGCGACGCAGCAGCCTTCGCATTACAAGAATTTCGCGACGGGGTGAGACTTCCTCGAAACGGGTATAGGGCAAAATATTTTAGTTCTGAATACTGAAGGTGGCTCGAAGAGCGTAGAATTTTGATACTTTCGAGAAGGGAAAATAATTGGCCGGGTGGATTTTGTCTTTTTCAATACACAGAGTGTATTTACACATGGTTTTGGAGAGTTTGTATCGTATTATACCGGGTGGTTCCAAGGTTCTTCGTTTTACATTCGGTGGCCAGTGGTGCGTTGAAGTGGCGGAAAAATGGGGTAGAGTTGGTTCCTTCTGAGTAGTCGCACGTACTCGCGCGATTATCTTATAGCTCCGAGAAGCACAGTCACTGTGATAATTTTTTAACGAGAGACACCGCTGGCAGCCTTGTTCGTGAATATTGCAGTTGCAGCCTCGCTACGTCACGCGAAACGACACTTCGAACTTAGAAATTTGCAAAAGAAAAAAAGAGGAGCAAAATAATTGAAACCTCCCGATTGTCAATCTCGGAAAA